GTGTGGGGTGGCACCCATTCTAGTACTGCCAAGACTTTCTCAGGGTCCATTTCTATGCCCTCTGGGGATATGCATATCCCAGATAGTCTATTTTATTTTTATGAAATTCACATTTAGAAAGTTTGGCACTGAGGTGGGCTGCCTGTAGTTTATTTAGGACTGCCCTGACCAGTTTGACATGTTCGTCCATGGTCTCTGTGAATATAAGGATCTCATTCAGGTAAATGAGCATGTCCTTTTATAGGTGCTCCCTTAGTACGTCATTTATCAGCTGCATGAATATGGCAGGAGCTCCCTGTAGCCCAAAAGGTAGAACTCAGAATTAGTAATACCCTAAGGGACAATTAAAAATGGTTTTCCACTCATCTCCTTCTTTAATTCTAATTCAATAGTATACTTCCCTTAGGTCTAACTTGGTAAAAATCTTCCCCTTTGAAAGGTGAGATAGCAAGTCCTTCATGAGGGGAAGAGGGTATAGATTGCTTTTGCTTATGGTGTTCAAAGCCCTATAGTCCACGCAGAGGCAAAGAGTTCCATCTTTCTTTTCTCGGAATAATATAGGGGTGGCCGTCTTTGGCTTTGCTGGCTGAATGAATCCCCTTTCTAAATTTTTTGTCTATGAATTTCTGCATTTCTTCCAATTCCAATGGGCTCATAGAGTATAATCTAGGCTTTGGAAGTTTCATGCCTGGTCTGATTTCTATTGCACAGTTTGTGGGCCAATGCAGCGGCAATTCATCAGACCTCTCTTCACTGAACACTTCAGCTAGGTCTCTATACTCCTCTAGTATTTCGGGTATTTCCTTTTCTCCCCCTAGTGTGGCTTTCTCAGTTGGGGTTTCCCCTGATTGGGGCTGGGCTAGTGCCTTGGTTGATTCCCCATTTGGGAACCTAAGTTCTGCCATTCTCCAGTCCACCTGTGGGTTCCATTTGGCTAGCCACGCCATGCCTAGGATTATGGGACATTCCATGCCAGGGGTTACTACGAATGTTATAGTCTCTATGTGGTCCCCCAAGATGAGTTGAAGTGGTAGCATAGCTAGGGTGGTGGGCATCACCCCTGCTATGGACCCATCTAACTGACTGAACGAAATCAGTTTCTTTAGCCTCCTCACCGGTATTCCTAAATTCCCCACTAGTGTTGGGCTAATAAGTCAGCGAGTGCACCTGGAGTCAATTAATGCCCTAACTTCTACAGCTTTGGTCAAGGTTGGGGCTAGCAAAGTTACTGTCCTGGTGAGGGGCGCAATGGGTCCACTTACCAAGGGTTCATCCTCGGAGTTGTCATCGGATGAGTTGGACGCTCCCACTGTGTAGGCCAGAGTTCCCTTTCCTTGCTGAGCTGAGGCGGGGTACTCAACGGTCTCTGTGCCTTTCACGGCTGCCTCCTTCGGCTTTGCTGGTGGTTTTCTGGACTTTCTGGCCTGGTTTTCCAGTCGGGGTGCGAGAACAGTATTCGGCGGCACAATGCCCTTCCTTGCCACATTTGAAACACCGGGCGGTTCTTTTGGAGGTTGACAACTGCTTTGTTGACTTGCAGGTCGTCCAGTGGTGATTTTCCCCAAGGTCTTCCTCCTCTGCATTGCCTCTTGGCTAAGTCGATCTCAGCTTCCTCGGCTAGGATGTACCAATCTTGCAGCTGGTGAGGATCTCCCCGAGGGAAGCAGGCATCGTAGAGGTCATAGTTTAAGCCATCTTTGAAATGGCTAAGCAGGATGTCCTCTAGCCAGTTCAGTTTGCTGGCCAAGGTTCGGAATTCTTGAGTGTATTCCGCCACCAGCCGTCTGATTGTTTCACTGTCTTTATCCGCTCCCAGGCTTTCAAAGGATCTTTGAACCTGCACCTGTGGGAGACCATGAATTGGTTGAAATTCTGTAGCTCCAAGGCATCAGAGTCATGGAGGTCTATAACCCAGTCTGCTGCGATGCCATCCAAGGTAGCTTGCATGATGCAAATCCTGGCCTGGTTGGTGGGAATGTCCCGGTCATATTCCTCCATATAGTTGAGTACCTGGGTTAGGAAGAATCCCAGGTGCCACGGCTTCCCACGGAACTTCACATCTAGTGGAGGGAACTTCTGGATGGAATGTTGCCTCTTCTTCCGTTTGTGTTGTCTCCCCTGTCTGTGGCTTCCACGCAATGAGGGGTGGCTGCAGCAGTGGCAAACGGTGGCAGGTTCGGTGATTCCATCAGATGGGTCTGGGACCTCAGGTTCAGGTTCCCCTTCATTTCCTCTCCTGCTGGACCCCAGGCAGATGGTACTTCGGTAGGATTTGGCTTTCTCCTCTTTCATGGAATCGAGAGCTATCTTCATCATGCCAATTGCCTGTTCCAGCAACTGGCTGGAATGCCCCAGGTGATTCTCCTCGTCCTCGCTGAGATTGAGAGACCTTTTCATCTCCTCCTTCCAGCCTGGTTGATGACTGCCCCGTCTGAGCGTCACTTTTCTGGCTGTCTTCTCCCAGTTGTCCTTCTTCCCAATGCCCATTGACCACCTAGGCTTGTGGCAGCGTTCTGTTACCACATCCTCTTCCGAAGAGCTAGAGGATCCAGAACTGGAATGCTTGCAGGGGTCTGCTCGGCGGGAGGTTTCCCCCCCCCCCCCATAGCAGGTTTGTCTCTCTCTATTCCACTGTCTGACATGATTTGCCAAGTCCCCCAGTAAGGGCTTTCCTTCTGGGCTGATGATTACTGCAGATCTTGTCTAAAGTCAGGGCCCACTTCAAAACCTCATCCTAAGAAAGTAGAATTCGTGGAAGCAGTTTCTTCCAAAAGGAACTTTTATTAGGAGAAGCTGATAGCAGGCATAATAGACAAGATCTGAGGGTTTCCCACTCAGATCAATTAAAAGTGTCCCAGGAAACCCCACCCCAAAGTTCCTCCAGCCAGTTCAAATGGACCAATCCTCAGGTGTTAAATCCGTTGTGGGAAAGAGCAGATAATGCCAGGCTGTCTCAGGGTTGCAGCGATGTTTTGTTGGCTCTTCACACCTTCCTTTCCAAAAGCGGAGATAAACCAATTGCTGGAGGTGCATTTCTTTCTTCTCCCCCCCCCTCTAGCTGACATCAAGGGGAAAGATAGTTCAAAGAGGAATATGCAGAAGCAGCAAAGTGTAGCAATAGAGGAAATCAGAGCAATAGCCCACAGTACTTTTCCTCCCTCCCCTCCAGGAGCATGGCAGAACCCAAAAGAATAGAAAGAGTAGAGCTAGGATTAAAGCGAGAAAGGGGTCCTCTTAGAATATGGGTTCTGACATAGTCTATGCAGAGTCTATTATTTGTGTATATTTTTAAAAAGAAAATAAGAGGACACAAAAAGAGAAGGAATTGATGTCCTCACACCTGAACAGGTAATGATAGTCATTCCCAAATTGGTACTTCTCAAACAGCATGGTCAACGAATTGGGAATTATGGTTACAGGTATTCCTTGAGTTAGAAGTGTAATAGAGCCTGCCCATTCCACTGGTAACTTGAAAACTCATAGAGTGAATCTCGTTTGAGATACAAAACCACTCCCTTGCTCATTAAAACACAAGCGGCTCATTAAGCGAATATGAGGTATCTCAGGGTGGGGAAGGCCATGGAGGGCCTAGTGCTGGAACAGGCCCCCAAGGCCTCTCTGACTCACTAAGATACTGCATGCTTCCCTCTTCCTTCCTGCCATGCTGGACTCACCTGGAAAAGATCTGTCTCCTCTCTGCCATGGTTCCTGCTGCCGGCAAGATTTGAGGTTGGGGAATGCTTCCGCAACCCCCCCCCCGGTGGCCCAATCTGGGCTCCAGAGTCCTTTTCCAGGCTGCCGCTGCCCGGATTTGAGGCTAGGGGATGCTTCTGCGTGCCCCTGTGACTTGATCCATGCTCTGTAGGCCTTTTCCAGGCTGCTGCCACCCAGATTTGAGGCTGGGGAAAACTTCCACAGTCTCCCCTCCCCCGTGATCAGACTGCATATGGTATGCGGAAGCATTCCCCAGCCTCAAATCCAGGCAGCAGCGGCCTGGAAAACATCTCTGGAGCCTGGATCCAGCCTCCGGAGACACGTGGAAGCATCCCCTAGCTTTGGTTCCATTCTCTGTTGCAGAGAACAGACGCCTAAAGTACCATGAGTTACGCAAGATCAGTAGCATGAGATCTTGCCCCACTGATCTCACGTGATCTTGTGTTACTTTAGGCCTCCATTCTCTGTGAATGCACCGAAGACCTGGAGCAGCTAAGAAGGCAAAGGATCTCGATCTTTGCAGGGTGAGTATTGAAGGCCTGGTGCCTAGGGAGACCGGGGTGGGGGTGGGGAGGAAGGGAATAACCAAGGTGAATGTTGCAGAGCCACTGTGGTCACTCGTAAGGGCGAATGACTGCTGTGGTGCTGCAATATTGATAACTTCGGGATTTGCTCGTAAGCACTAAGGGGCGTTCATCACGTAACTTTAAATGAGCGTTAAGTGAACCCTCGTAACTTGGGGATTACCTGTACTAAAGTTCACAGAATCTGAAGGACACCAAGTGGAGAAGTCAGGTTTACATTAAGAAACTGGGGTATTCCGAAGTAACTCTTCTATGAAGACTAGAATTGGAAACTCTCTAGTAATACTACTCTCTAGTAGTAGTATTTTTGTCCATTCTTAAGAATCCTCTTCCCATCCTGTGTCAGATAATAAAATAGTGGGGCAAATCCTGATTTTGTATCATAAACATATTTAGGATTCTAGAATTGTTGGATCAATTAATTACAATTAGCCATAAATTAAACAAAATTTACACAGGATTCTGTTCCTGATATTGCTATTTGTAACTTCCTATAAATAAAAATTAACTCTTGAAATTTGTAAATAGAATTACAAAGTAATGATCCATTGTCACAATAATCCATTGTGCCTAACAATGGGAACACGGTATCTTGAAAATAAGTTTACTTTTGAAAAAGAGATAAAGAAATTGCTATAAATAAGTTTGTGAACTATATTTGTGAACTATCAATTATTGGAGAGACATTATTTTAACACTTACCTTCATATCTATTTCTGTGCCATGAATTTGTTGAGCAACTGTTTTGATGATTCCAATGACAATATCTTGGAGCCCTTCCCTCTCTGAATAGTAATGCAGAATGAGGCCTTTCCCCTTTTCTGCATCTGTACATCTAAAGGAAGGAGCACGCATTCCTGGGTATATTGTAGCAAGATGGTCATGTAAAGCATCAAGATTCTGGGGGAAAAATAATTACAAGAAAATGTTATAATCTAATTTTCTAACATTCTTATTAGAGAAGCTATGTTCAAGCTTAGGTAAACAGAGATTCAAAGTATACCTTTTATGTATAAAATAAACCCCAAAAGATGTTGGAGTGCTCGCTTCAGCAGCACATATACTAAAGTTGGCTGCAGGATCTAGGTCACCAACAGGAGAAGAGTTATTGGTTGAATCTATGCAACAGTGTTTGGAGATAAGAGAAGACCCAAGAGAACAGAAAATGACTCGTGCAGCTCATAAACGTAGAGAAAAAGAACAACAAAAGGTAGATTCTGATGTTACAACACAGATGGCTATCTCTGAGGTGTAAGAGCAGGGCTGTGGTTGCCCTTTTTCATCTTCTTGGATAGGACTGCACCTATGGCCACATCACTAGCATCAGCCTGAATGACAAATGGTTTCTTTGGGTCTAAGTGTCTCAACACCAGCTCTGTGGAGAAAAGTCTCTTTAGTTTTTTTAATGTGGCTTGAGATTCCATGGTGCACTTTAGTGGTTGGTTGTGCTTTGGCTTATCCCCTGCCCCTTTGGTCTTTAGCAAGTTTGTGATGGGGACGGCGATTTGTGTGAAAGAGGAGGAAATTACCTATGGAAGTTGATGAAGCCCAGGAAACTTTGAACTGTTTCCTGGTGCACAGGGCTTCCCATTCTAAAATGGCGCACACCTTTTCTGGATTCATTTCCACCCCCTCATACAAGATCCAGTAGCCTAGGTGGTCAATTTTCTCCTGGTGGAATTTGCATTTGGAGAGTTTAGCATACAGCTTGGCTGCATAGAGCCTGTTCTGACCAATTTCACGTGTTCAGCTTTCGTTTTGGTGTAAATTACGATATCATCCAGGTACACCAAAACTCCTTAATATAGGTACTCATGTAGCACCTCATTTATCAGCTCCATGAACACAGCAGGGGCTTCCTGTAGTCCAAAGGGGAGCACTTTGAATTGGAAGCAACCTAGGGGACAGTTGAAAATTGTCTTCCACTCATCTCCCTCTTTGATCCTATCCCAGTAAATGCCTCTCGCAAGTCCAGTTTAGAAAACACTTTTCCCTTGACGAAGTGGGCCAGCATGTCTTTCATGAGGGCCAAGGGTTACACACTTTCCACCCACATGGCATTAAGACCTCTATAGTCCACAGAGAGACAAAGAGATCCATCTTCCTTTTCCTGGAACAATACAGGGGCTGCCACTCAGGGTCTTCCTGGCTGTATGAAACCCCAGGCCAGGTTCCTATCTATAAACTGCCACAATTCATCTAGTTCTCTGGGGGTCATGGAATATATTTTGGGCTTTGGGAGTTTGGCTCTGGGTATGATCTGGATAGCACAGTCCGTGGACCGGTGAGAAGGGAGTTTATCCAAACCTGTCTTGCTGAACACCTCAGCTAAATTGCGGTATTCCCTGGGTATGCCTTTTAGCTCCTTGTCTTTTGCTGTCACCACCATATCTCAGTATGGTTTCCCCTTCTCACCCTGAGTTTTCTCAGGTGGGGGCTTCTGTTCTTTTGGGAATCTCATGCTCCCTTCCCGCCAATCTACCCAAGGGGTTCCATTTTTTCAACCACGTCAGCCCTAGAATAAGGGGACAATCTATACCAGGCACCTCTATGAAAGTTAAACCCATGGTAGGACCCAGGGGTTCAATGACAAAGCTGGCCAGGACGCCCCCTGTGATGGACCAATCAAGTTGGCAGAAGGAAATGGTGTTCCTTAGCCTCCTCAGTTGGACCCCTAGTTTCCCCACCAAGGTTGGGCTAATTAGACACCTGGTGCAGCCTGAGTCTAGTAGGGCATTTAGGGCCACCTTTCCTTCCTTGCCCGAGATTAAAGTTTTATGGGCATTGTGATTAGTGCAATTGGCCCACTTGCCAAGGGGTCATCATCGTAGTCACTTTCAGGTGTTTCCGGTTCATCTCCCTGTGGGTTCGGAGTTCCCCCTCCTGACTTTGGGATTGGGGGGAACTCCACAACCTCCCTGGTTTTCAGGATTGCATCCTTTGGGCATTGAGTTGGTTTCATTAGCCTCCCTCCAGACAGCCGCTCTCCCTTCATGGCTGGGACTTTCATGTGGCATTTCAGAGTGCAATGGGCCTCCTTGCCACATTTGAAGCAGGCAGTTGAGCATGGTTGAGCCACCATGGGTTTGATTGCCTCCCCTTTCTTTTCTGGTGGAGATCTCTTCCAGATTTTATCAGACTGATATGGATTGCAATTCTGGTTGATCTCTGCTTCTTCAGCCAGGATGCACCAGTCATGTAGGCAGACCAGGGCTCTGCGGGCAATACAGGCATTATACAGATCATCGAGTCTGTTCTGGAAGCAGCACACTAAGATGTCCTCAGGCCAGTTAAGTCAACATGCCAGGTCCTGGAAGACCTCTGTGTATTTGGCTACAGGGCAGTGTCCCTGTTTCACCATCTTTATGCAGTCCTATACCTTCTGATCAGTCAGATGGTCTTTGAAATGCCTTCTTAGGGCTGATATGAAGCGGAGTTCCAGGTCATTGGAACGGGCCAAGGCGCCTTCCAGAGCCAGGGTGACGAACCTGACTCTAGCCTCCTCACTGGAGAGGGTCCTTCCATATACTTGTATGTAGCTGAGAATGTGAGCGAGGAAAAATCCCAATTGCTGGAGGTCTCTGGCAAATTTCACCCAAAGGGAAACAATTTTGGGTGCGGGGCTCTCCCCCTGGCTACTAGGGGCTGCGGGGCTCTCCCCCTGGCTACTAGGTGTCTAGGCTGCTAAGGGGTGGCTGGAGTGATCTCTGCCACTCTGGTAGAGCCAGCCACCCTTGCAGCTGCATCAGCGGTTGCTGACTTGTTCCTGCCTCCCATGGCTTCTTCGATCAGTTGTCACCTTTCCCTCGCTCAGATTTCACTTTCAGGTCTTGAAAGCTTCAACCGTGAATTGAATTGCCCATTTCAGGATCTGGTCGGCGGGATCCTGCTCTCTCTTGATTTATTTTGTCATCACAGAGCAGTTCTATTTTATGCCTCCAGCCCGGTTTTCAGCTGTCTCAGGTGAAAGTTACCCATTGGGCCCTTTCATTCCAATCTTCCTTTTTCGCAACACCAACCAACCACCTTGATCTCTGGATTCCTCCATAGCAGCCATCTCCATCCATCCAGAGAAACTCTACTTCAGGACATCATTCGGACTCTTCTTGCACACTGCCATGGAGCAACATAGCGTCCACAGACTCCACAGTATCTTGCCTGTTGAAATATTCATGAGCAGGAAGAGTCATGTGGTAACTCAGTCAGCCAACATGAAGAAAGTGCTCAGGTTTGTCTCTGTATCTCTCTGTAAGAAGTCTTCAATTGAGCTATGTTGCTATAAAGAAGAATGTATGGTATTGTAAATATTTTGATATAAATATAAAGAAGTTATTTTGAATCAGCTAAATGCAGTCAACTGTGAGAGCTTCTGATTTATTTTTTCACCAATAGAGAAATTAAAATTCTCTAACAGGTTATGGGCTCAGAGCTTACTAAGGACTGCATTGTAATTTAAAGCTGGAAGAAATTGCCTGTGTTTAGAAAGTATAAGAACAAGACAGAATTAGCAGAATGGCTGCAATGGAATTTGAGGAAAACTCTGTGCCTCGTTTAGGTCAGAAGAATTAGATTGTGTCGGCTGCTAAAATGGAATGTTTGCTGAAAGCTAAAGAGCTGTGGTATATTGTAGAAAATCCATCACAAGTATTTGCAGCTGCTTATCAGAAGAGTCATGATCAAGCAATGGCTTATCTCATCTTGAATTTAGATGATGAACAATTTCTAAATGTTGCAAATTTAAAGACTGCAAAGGAGATTTGGTTGAAGTTGAGAGCTGTGCACGTGAATGTTTCTGCATGCAAGAAAACTTTACAGGGCCTGTTTGCAACCAGGTGAATCTGTGGAACAGCATTTAAATAAAATGCAAAGTTCATTTTTGGACTTAAACAACCTGGGATTAAATTCCCTGAGTCCCAGAAGGTTTTATTGGTGTTGAACAGTTTAGATAAAACTTGGGACATAGTTTCTGCCATATTTGAGTGTAAAGAAGAGCAAGACTTACATTTTAAGGCTTTAAAGGCATGTCTGCTTAATGAACAAGAAAAGCGCCATTTTAGAAGCAGCCACGAGAAGGTGAAATTCCTGAGGAGGGGGTCCAGACTGCAAGTCTCTGAAGAAGAAACATTTTGCAGGCGGAGAGCTAAGCAAGAAAAGAATTGCTACATTTGTGGAGCAAACAACCATCTGAAAAGGAACTGTTTGCAAAGGAACACTTTGCAGCAAAGGACATTTGTGCAACCAAAAAGGACTGATTTGCAAAAGGAACATTTTGGTGTTGCAAAAGTTTGCTATAGCAACAACAGAGAGAAGTGGCTAATAGATAATGGGGCAAGTCAAACAATTGTTAATGACTCTGAATTATTTTGCAGATTTGTTGCAGTAGCACAAGAAGCTGTGGCTTTGGCAAATGGCCAGAAAGCAAAAGTCATCGGAAAAGGTGATGTAAAAATTCCATATTTGGAATCAATGTTTACCAATGTGCTTTGTGTACCTGAGATGGAACATAATTTGTTAAGTATGTCTAATTTAGACAAACAAGGTTTTGAGATCATTTTTGTAAATGGGAAGTGTCTTATCAAAAGGAATGGGAATATTTGTGCAGAAGGCATAAAGGAAGATAATCTATATGTATTACAGGGACAAAAGGTTCAATGTTCCCATATATTTAAGAATGTTACAGAGCATGATTCATGTGTTCATCTTCTACATAGACGACTTGGCCATGCAAGCTTTAAAGTTTTGCAGCAAATGCAAGAGTTTGCAGAAGGGCTAAATTTGAAGGGATGCAAAACATATTTGGACTGTGCAGTATGCAAAGCATCAAAGTCAAAGGCATTCTCAGTTAGTAAATATAGCACAAGACAAACAAAAAAAGCTCTAGAGCTGGTCCATGCAGATCTGGTGGGACCTATGCAAGCCACTTTGGGAGGAGCAAAATATGCACTGGTAATTGTTGATGATTATAGCATGTATAGTTTTTGCTACTTGCTTAGAGCAAAGACAGAGGTGCTACAACAATTCAAACAGTAGGTAAGTTTTGTAGAGAGAAGGTACAGACAACAAGTGTGTCAGCTGCAAACTGACAGAGGTACTGAATTTATGTCAACTAAATTCCAACAATGGTTGGAGCAGTTGGGGATAAGACACAGGCGTACAAATCCTTACACAGCAGCAGAGAACGGTGTAGCTGAAAGAAGGAATGGTGTTTTGCAAACAATGAAAGATTCATTATTAGCAGGTATAAGCAGGTCATATTGGGGAGAAGCCATATTGACTGCCAATTATATAGTTAACAGGATGTGGAGTTCCTCCATTAATAATACTCCATATGCCATTCTATATGGGAGAAAGCCATCACTGGCACATTTGAGAATTTTTGGAAGTACTGCATGGGTACATATTCCGAAAGCAATCAGAAGAAAGGGACAGCTCAGGTTTGTGGGCTATGAGCCAGGGTCAAAAGGATATCGCTTTAGCGATGGAAGTAAAAGAATTGTAATTTCAAGGTCTGCTAATTTTGCAGAACAAAATTGGGACAGAATTAATGCAAATTCTGGGTATGTCTCACTTAATGACGGTAATCTGTTTAATGACAATAACTCATCTAATGATGGAAAAATGATTATTGAAGATGTCAATGTTCAGGGAGGAGAGGCTGAACAAGACATGAAACTAGAAAGACTTGAGACACAGGAGCAGTTAATACCACGTAGGTCAGAGCAATGTAATAAAGGAATTCTGCCTGACAGGTATTCTGCCAGCAAGGTAAAGGTTTGCAATGTGTGGTACAAGCCAAGAAGTTATAAAGAAGTGTTGGCATTACCAAAAGCTGAACAAGAAAGATGGAAAGAGGCCATGGATAAACAGATGAAATCCATGGGAGACCATGAAGTATTTAAATCAGTGATTTTGCCACAGGGAACCAAAGTTGTGGGTTGTAAGTGGGTATATAAGAAAGAAGTATTGCCAAATAATGATGTACAGTTGTTGCAAGATTTAAATATTAATGTAAAAGAATCTGTAAAGGTATTTGAAGACAATGGTGCCTGTATAAAAATGGCAACTGGTGACAGGGTGAAGAACAGAAGTAAACATGTAGACATTAAGTATTGTAATGTCAGGGAAGCTGTAAAAGGAAAATTGATTAGTTTACATCATTGTTCTTCTGACGATAATTTGGCAGACATGATGACTAAACCATTGGGTAATGTTCACTATGGAGAATGTGTTAAGTCAATAGGTTTGATGTCTCTTCCTGTCATGGAGGGAGGAGTGTTGGAATATTCATGAGCAGGAAGAGTCATGTGGTAACTCAGTCAGCCAATGTGAAGAAAGTGCTACTGAGTCTGTGCAAAAGGGTATTGAGTTAGGAGCTGGATTTCCAGTCTCAGGTTTGTCTCTGTATCTCTCTGTAAGAAGTCTTCAATTGTGCTATGTTGCTGTAAAAAAGAATGTATGGTATTGTAAATATTTTGATATAAATATAAAGAAGTTATTTTGAATCAGCTAAATGCAGTCAACTGTGAGAGCTTCTGATTTATTTTTTCACCAACAGAGAAATTAAAATTCTCTAACATTGCCTAATGTAAGGTCCTGCCTCATCTAGTGCTCCTAAGGAAGCAAAACTCTTCAAACAGGCATTCTTTCAAACAGGAACATTTATTGAGAATCAGTGAAAACAGAAAGGCAAGGCAAGATCTAAAGAATTCCCGCGCAGAATGCTACATTAAAATATCGCTTTTCAAAATCCTTCCTAGAGCCCAATTGTCCTGTTTGTTTCCAGCCAATCCACAGGTGCGAAGTTGGTTTGGAAACCAGAATGATAAGAGACATTTCCCAGGCGTAGCCTCATCTTTACAATGGAGCGGTGATAAGGCAGATGGCCCCTGGCATATTCCTCCCCCTTCTTCACACCAAAAAAGATTCATCAAAAACAGAGAGAATAAGGTAAAAGAAATACATCAGTTAGCCCTATGCCAAATGAGTGAAACCTCCCCCCTCCCACTAGAATGGTAGACCCCCCAAAAAGGTGAAACAGAGGGGATCTGACACACTGCTAGGGTAGACCAGAAAGTCCTCCCAGACTCCCCTGAGCCTGAAACCCTTGGGTAGAAAAGCCTATTGGAAGGAGGTGCCCATACTCACTGTGTAGGGGAGCAGCAGGACCTCATGGACCCCTTTTTGGTCTGAAAATGGTTGGCAGAGTTCCCTTGAAAGGAGGTGCCCTTACTCTGCTAGGACAGGGCTTTTCAACCAGTGGTACGCGTACCACTGTACCTGGCTGGTGGTACGCATAGGATGGGTTGAAAAAAAATGTTAAAAAATAGTAAAAAAAATGTAAAAAAAATATTTAAAAAGTGTAAAAGTGGATGAGGTGATGTGGCAGCAGTGCCACACAAGCTTGTGGCAAAGTCAGTTGGAACTGCATGTTGCCTGGGTCTTACTGAGAGCCCAGGATCAAAGCATGGAGCTCCAGCTGATTGGCGGTGGCCTTGTGGGTAACAGGCAGCCTCAAGCAGTTTTCAGTGGAGATTCTGCTAGAGCTGCATGACGCATTGCCTGGGTCCCCCCCGCCCCCATCCAGATGCCCTCATCTCCCACAAGTGTTTTTTTTTACTCACCTGCTTTCAGCAGCATTCCCTTTCTTCTCAGCCTTCATGTGTTTGTGAGACAAAAAAAAAGTTCCATGAGACTTTCTAACTTCTTGCAAGAAGTTAGAAAATCTCATGGAACTTTTTTTTTTTATCCACAAACACGTGGCAAAGGCAGAGAAGCAAACGAAGGCAGAGAAGCAAAAGGAGAAAGGGAGTGCAGCTGAGAGCAGGTGAGTAAAAAATGCTTGGGGGAGGGAAGGGCATCTGGGCGAGGGTGCCAACCTTATCCTGCATGGTGGCAGGAGGGTTAATGGCGGGCGCAGGGGGCCCAGGAGCTCCTGCCCATCTCACTTGCTTGCAGAAAGCAAGTGGAAAGCAAGCGAGCGAGATGGGCAGGAGCACGAGATTGGTGTTCCTGAGCACGTGCCAATTCGTGCCCCTGCCCATCTCGCTTGCTTGCAGGGGTCCTGACCGACCTTCACTGGACCAGAGTGGGGAGGGCATAAAAGAGCCCAGAGGAGGCAATTGGAGTTTGGAGCTGCTGCCGCCATCGCTGCTGTTGCTGAGCCAGATGGCTGTGCTTCAGCGGCTGTTGCGGTTCCTGCCCGCTGCTTCCCCTTGGCTGCAGGGGGAGGAAAGTGTAGGCAGCGGAGAAGCGCACAGGGTGGGGAAAGAGCCACGGCTGCCAGACTCCCTCTCGTGCATTGCGCATGGCCACAGCCAAAGAAAAGCAGCGAGCAGGGAAGCGGCTCATTCATTGCCACAGCCAGCCCCGAGAAGAGCTGGCACGAACTGCAGGTGAATCCCGCCTGGCTACATTCTTTGCAGCTGAAAGAAGGGATTTGATCCCGCTTCCCCTTCGCTCCAGCCGGGTCCATGAATGCCAGATCTAACCCCAGGGCGGTTCGAAAGGCCAGCAGGCTGGCTGGGGGCTTTGGGGTGGAGACATGTGAGCCTTCCTCTGTCTTCTTGAATCTGGCATTCACGGACCCGGCCGGAGCAAAGGGGAAGCAGGATCAAAGCCAGATTCAAGAAGACGGAGGAAGGCTCACGTCTCCACCCAAAAACCCCCAGCCAGTCTGCTGGCCTTTTGAACCGCCCTTGGATTAGATCTGGCATTCACGGACCCAGCCAGAGCAAAGGGGAAGCGGGATCAAAGCCCTTCTTTCGGCCGCAAAGAATGCAGCCAGGCAGGATTCACCTGCGGGTTGTGCGGGCTCTTCCTCAGGGCTGGCTGCAGCAATGAATGAGCTGCTTCCCCGCTCACTGCTTTTCTCTGTGTGCAACGCACCAGAGGGAGTCTGGCAGCTGCGGCTCTTTCCCCGCTCCTCTGCTGCCTGCGCTGTCCTCTCCCTGCGGAAGAACAGCAGCTGTGCTGGGCTCCTGGCTGCACTGAGCCGACCGCAAAAGGAAAGTGATTCAGCAAAGGAACCACCATCGAAGAAATTAAAATTGAATGAGGGAGGGAGGGAGGGAAAGAGGAAGGGACAAAGAGGGAGGGAAGGAAGGAAAGGAAGGAAGGAACAATGGGAGAGAGGGAGGGAAGGAAGGCACCCATCCCAGTCCCACCCCCCTTCACCAGAGACCCATGGATTCCACCCACAACCTAATGGAGGGAGGGATGGACAATGGAAGGGAGGGAGGGAAGGAGGAAGGGACAAAGAGGGAGGGAGGGAAGGAAGGGAGGGAGGAAGGGAGGGAGGGAGGAAGGGACAATGGGAGAGAGGGAGGAAGGCACCCACCCCAGTCCCACCCCCCTTCACCAGAGACTCATGGATTCTCCCCCACAGGCACCCTGCAACCTAAGGGAGGGAGGGATGGACAATGGAAGGGAGGGAGGGAAGGAGGAAGGGACAAAGAGGGAGGGAGGGAGGGAAGGAAGGAAGGAAGGAAGGAAGGAAGGAAGGAAGGAAAGGAAGGAAGGAAGGAACAATGGGAGAGAGGGAGGGAAGTAAGGCACCCACCCCAGTCCCACCCCCTCCACCAGAGACCCATGGATTTCCCCCCACAGGCACCCTACAACCTGAGGGAGGAAGGGATGGACAATGGAAGAGAGGGAGGGAAGGAGGAAGGGACAAAGAAGGAGGGAAGAAAGGAAGGAAAGAAGGAACAATGGGAGAAAGGGAGGGAAGGAGGGCACCCACCCCAGTCCCACCTCCCTCCACCAGAGACCCATGGATTCCCCCCACACAGGCATCCTGCAACCTGAGTGATGAGCTGGCCACGCCCCCCCATTGACTTTGTTTGTAAAAAAGTTGCAAAAGGTGATCACATGACCCTGGAACACTGTGAACGTCATAAGTATGAATCAGTTGCCAAGCATCCAAATGTAAATCACATGACCCTGGGGATGCTGCAACAGTCATAAGTGTAAAAAATGGTCATGTCACTTTTTTAAGTGCCATTGTAACTTCAAACAGTCACTAAGTGAATTGTTGTAAGTCGAGGACTACCTGTGCTTTATCATTTTTTTTCCTTTTGGGGGGAATCAAGTTTTTGACACCTTGCTGGGTGAGTGGTGGTACTCGGATGTTGCCTTATTCTAAAAATGGTACAATGGGTGAAAAGGTTGAAAAGCCCTGTTTTAGATTACTACTATTTGAATATGTTTCTTCTTATAATTTCCACTAATTTCCTAATTACAAGAAAAACTGAAGTTTGGGGTGTATTATTTTGGTTCTTAAATGTGAATTATCAAGACATTATTTTTGATAAGGCTAGTGTCATAGCAAATAAAAAGTTACTGTCTGCAAAGTAGCCAGAGTGAAAGGATCCAGAGATTTGATAAATTACATTGTTGTGTTTAAGTAAATGTGCATAGTACCACAGCAAACCACACTGTTCAAATTAAATTGTCCTGGAACAGAGCCATTGATGATTTGTCTCAGTTAACTTACTTGTAAAAACTCTCTAACATTTGATCCCAACACACGTAAAATGGTGTCATAACCAGATTCTTGGCAAAACACAAAAAACATCTTCCCAAACATTTGAAGGATTTCTCCAGCATTAAGGTCTGCAAAATAAACAAACAAAACAATAAAATTCTGTTTTTTGAAAGTTGCTTTTTGCTAAGAAGAAATAATAGTACAGTACTGATTAAGCAAAATAATAAAATGAGTAATGTCAACCAATACCATAAGGAAATCAGCCAATTATGGTGTAGAAAGATACACTATATCTATTACTTCTTTTCAAAACCAGTTTTAAAATATTTATGAGAACTTAAAGCATTTTAGAGATTTCAACTTAAATAACCAGCACATTTAGAGGAGCTTCAAGAATTGTCTCAAAGTTCAAAGGATTGGATTGTGTGAAACAAATTCTTCCAAATTTCTGATAAACACATGTACATTTGTTCTTCTAAATTGAAACTTATAATAAAGAATAACAGTGATATGCAAAATACATTGTGTGCCATATCTCCATTGGTTGAGAAAATACGATAAGTATCTTGCATTCTATTTCACACAATTCTAATTTCAACAAACTACAATTCATAAGTCTGTTTTAAAACAATTTGGGGCAAACTATATATGATGTTAAATGCTCACATGTATTACACATGTTTGTGTTTATGCATGTACATATGCATATACATACAAATTTAAGTGGCAGAAATCAGCCAGTGAAGGGGACACTAATATTTACTGAGATCATAGCATGTAGGAATATGAACATAAATTTAACCACTTCAGAAGAAAATTGATCCTCTGAGGCCACTGTATAACTTCTAAAGCAGGGGTGTCAAACTGCCGGCCCGTGGGCCGGATGCGTCACACAGAAGCCGTGCCCACCCCATTGCCGGCAATGGCAAAACAGCCCTGATACATTGCATGACGTCACATAACATTGCAAGTTTGACATGTCTGTTCTAAAGAAAGTGTTCCTTAGTAGTCCTGAGATCTGCTCTTAATTTCAAACATTCTAAGAATGACTGCATATACTATTGTCAAGTCATTGAAAAATAATAGTCCAGAAAACTTTTTTTTGTACTATGTGTAAACTATCATGTATATCATAAAACAAGTTACAGAAGGCAACGGCCTAACTAGCTGAATTGCATCATATCCTTTAGAAGCAATGCTGAAAGAAAGCCACGTTTACTCACTGAGGACTTTACTTGCTGCAGCAACCAAATCATATGTTTTGGAATCATCATAAATAATTCTGACCAGAAACTGCCCTTCCTCATCCAGTTGTGCCTCTCTCCTAGAACAAAGTACAACATATTTTTTAAAAAATGATATATTTTGGACATTTATAAAAAAGAAGATCAAAGTTGCTAGTTGCTGAGAACACTGAAAATGTGTAGGAGTGAAGATGTAATATGGCCCAAGGTAACAATCTTAATGGAAATAAAAAAGAAATAAAGTATAAATGTCATATTTTGACTCCAATATTAGAAAAATCTCAAATATAACATAAGAAAACATAACACAGCATAACATAACAACTTACTGGATTTTTGTGTGAGTTTTTTTAAAATACTGTATGCCTTTGAGTCAATGTTGACTCCTAGCAATTGCCTGAACAAGTCATTACAACTAGCTTCCTAGGGCAGAGAGAGACCTATTGGCTCAAGGTTACTCAGCTGACTTTGTGTTAATGTAGGACTAGAATCAGAAGGACATGTCTGCCATTGGTTTACATATTTACAATTGAAAGAAAGATTTAAATTAGATAAAAAGAGTTATGGTAGTGGTAGTGATTGATATATTATTGCTAAGGCTTATAAATTGTTATTGAATTTGAATTTGGAGAATGAATATGAAAAGCATTGTATGACTCAATGGACAAAAAACTTTGAATGGAATGTAATGCTTGAACAATGGGAGAATATGTGAATGAAAGGTCTAAAATTTACACTAAATTATAATTTAAAAGTAAACTTTTATAAGATGATGTATCATTGGTATTTAACACCAGATAAGTTGTCAAGAAAGTATAAAGGTATTTCAAAGGAATGTTGGAAATGCAAATGTAAAGAAGGGACCTTTTATCATTTGTGGTAGCTATGTGATAAAGCAAAGAAATATTGGAATTGAATTCACATCTTAATACAGAAGATTCTCAAAGTGAATATAAAATCAGAAACTTTTATTCTGGGTTTAATGGAAAAAGACTTAGAAAAAATTAGTACTTTGATGTTATATATGTTGACGGCAGCAATATTACTTTACACACAAAAATGGAAGGACACTTTGATTCCTACAATGGATGAATAGTTACAAAAGTTGAAGTTAGCAGAGATGGCTAAATTGACTGCTTTGGTCAAAGAAAAAATATAATTACTTTGGCTTCTACTTGGAAAACGTTTCTGGACTTTGTGCTTCAGGTGGAAAAAATGAAACTTTGATTTTGGGTTTTACCGATTAATAAGTTTGTTATTGTAGAAATGGCTAGTTTATATTATTATGTAAAAGTAAAAAGTTGAGGTTTGATGTTATTATTTTACTCTATTGCACCAAAAGGAGTCGGAAGTTAATGCCTTTTCTTTCTTTTTTCGCTTTGTTCCAGTTTTCCCTTCCCCATTTCCTCCCCTACTTCCCTACTATTTTCTTTTGTATTTTTGTATTATATATTATAAACAAACAAATAAATAAATAAAATAATAGAATAGAGTAACAGAGTCTGAAGGAACTTTGGAGGTCTTCTAGTCCAACCCTCTGCTCAGGCAAGAAACCCTATACCATTTGAGACAAATGGTTGTCCAAACTCTTCTTAAAAACTTCCAATGTTGGAGCATTCATTCCACTGATTATTTATTTATTTATTTACATATTTATATGAGGCGGCGATCCAGGGCCCCGGCCGCCGCCTCATTCCAGGCCGCAACCAGGGACCTGGACGAGTTGTGGACAAGGGAGTCAGGTATTTCCCCAAGCTCCTCCTGGAACCGATCTGGGTCCATTAGGCGCCTGGGGCGGAACCACCTAGTCGGTTCCCTCTCCCTGCGATGGGGGAGTGATGCTCTGATTAATTGTTATAACTGTCAGAAAATTTTCCTTAGTTCTAAGTTGCTTCTCTCTTTGATTTGTTTCTATCCATTGCTTCTTTTCCTGCCTTCAGGTGCTTTGGAGAATAGATTTGACTTCCTCTTCTTTGTGGCAATCCCTTACATATTGAAACACTGATACAGTATCATGTCCTAGTCCTTTTTTCATTAAACTAGACATACCCAATTCCAGCAACTATTCTGTATGTTTTAGCCTTCATTTCCCAAATCATCTGTGTTATTCTTTTCTGCACTTTTTCCAGAGTCTCTACACCTTTTTTTATAATATGGTAAGCAAAACTGGATACAGTATTGTAAGTGTGGATCTTTCTAAGGCTTTATAAAGCAGTACTAATACTTCACGTGATCTTGAGTCTATCCCTGTGTTAATGCAACCAAGGATTGCATTGGTTTTTTTTTTTTTTTTTGGTTGCTGACACACACTATTGGCTCATATTTAAGTGATTGTCCACTTGGACTCCACAATCCCTTTCATAGTTGCTGGCATTGAGCCACGTTTGTTCTAATCTGTATCTATATAGTTGGTTTTTCTTGCCTAAGTGTAAAACTTTACTTTTCTCTCCATTGAATTTCATTTTGTTAGATATGGCCCAGTGTTCAAGTCTGTTGAGATCCATCTGGATCTTGAGCCTATCTTCTGGAATGTTGATATTCCTACCAGTTTAGTGTTGTCTGCAAATTTGATGAATTCCCCTTCTATTCCCTCTAAGTTGTTTGTGATGATGTTGAAGAGTACTGGGCCTAAAATGGAATCTTGGGGTACCCCACTGCATACTTCCTTCCATGTAGATGTAGTTCCATTGAGGACCACACTTTGAGAGTGATTTGTCAGCCAGTTACAAATCCTTTTGATGGTGATATTGTCTACCCCAATTTTTTTTTTAGCTTACCAACAGGTAGGTTGTGTTCTACTTTGTTAAATCTCTTACTGAAATTCAAGTATACTATGTCCATTACATTTTACTGGTCCACTAATTTAATGACTTTGTCAAAGAATAAAATTAGATTTCTTTGGCATGATCTGTTTTTGACAAACCTGTGGTAGCTTCTGGTTATAGCTTTGCTCGCTTCTAGGTGTTCACAGTTCTGTTGCTTGATTCTTTTTCAGGACTTTCCCAGATATTGATATCAGGCTGATTGGTCTGTATCATCAGAAGTACCGAAGTATGAAGGTAAAAGGATACTACTGAACTTGCAATATGCTGCTCTTAATTATAAATAAACAGCAATAATAGAAGTAACTAAGTATTTGGAAAGATTCGAACATGTAAAACTATATCTAGCCCTCTGAATACTGTATGCTGCCCCAGCTGAAAAATGTAAATAATTAATGATTTCATACATCTCTATAATAATCAACCAAAGGACAATTTTCATGTACCAGTCTCATTATTTAATGAATTGCTATTCATTAAAATGATCCAAGAAATTGACTAAGAAAAGATTATTCCTTGTACCAAATTACAAATCTAACATGTCCACCAAAATAAGTTGAGTTAGCTTTGGTTGTTGCTAAAAATCTTTTATAACTATTCTCCCAGCTAAATTTAAGCATATATCTACAATATACACACTGTAAAAGGATCATTATGCACATTTAAATTTGGAGTTTAAAATAAAGCTAATCACCCAAGGACTTCATATTTCCTTCCTGAGCAGAAAGTACACTAAAGATTACTATTGTTTCCTTTTTTCATTTGGAATTAGAAAAAATGTATTGTAATCCTAGTTATTTTACAAGAAGATTAGCAAGGAGGAATTGGATAATTATATGTATCTCTTTGATATATTATAATAAAACTTCATATCCCTGTGTAATGATTATGTAACACAGACTCAAGCAAGCATTTATTTTTGTCACTAAAGAGTTATATTTTTGTATACTTTGCTTTGTCTTGTCCTTTGGGCTGGGGGGTGCCTATAAAATAGAATTGCCTTTCTCATCTTCAATCTTGGAAAAGAAATACATCTTAATCTTCTGATTGTGTCATTGTTAGTTGGTACTATGCAAAGCATTCCTAGGAGAAGAGAAGATAAGCACCCTCTTTGGTCTTGGCAAAATCCATGAAATAACACACAAAAGCAGTAATATGGTTTAGAGCTCATATAGTCAGAAATTCCCCTAAGATGGGACTTTTATTGAGACTTAATCAGAAGGGTATTGCATACTTGCTGAATTTAAAGGCATCTGCCCACCATCATCTCTTTTGTGTTTCCTGATTGGAACAAGGTCATAAGATTTTTTTTCCTTTTCTTATTGTACTTTGGTATCCTTGAATATCTTTTATTTCTGCTCAAGCTATGTTACTATATTATTTTCTTACCTAGAAATAAAGGCTGAAGTATTCAGACCAGTGAGGTCATTGCTTCCAAGTCCAAGAGAATTTGTAATCCAATTTTGCTGATTTGGTGAGAGACCAATACATCTACAGACACCAAATACATTTTCAAAAATATTCATATGGACAATTTTTATTTGAATGTAAGCTTAATTTTAATGCAATTTGAAATGTATCTGATGGAGTAGTGTGCAATCTCTCTTTTAATCTAAACTTCATGATATAGATGATTTTCAAGAGTATAGCAGTAGAGAAACCATACATTGGAAATTAGGGAATTAAGCCACCTTCAAAAGAACTATTATATACTGTACATGCCTAACTTTCTACATTTGGTATCTATGGACTTTTAACACCTTGTACCAAGGGCTATTTCACTGCTGAATCTTCAATATTTGAAGTGAAATGCTTCTAATATTTGCTCTGTCTGTCTGTTTATCTACCTACCTATCTACCTCCATTTTTAAATTTCATTCTATGAACTATAATGTGTGCATATTTAACTTTCAAAAAAGATTTTTTTGCAAATAGCCAACATTGTCAATTAGGGGAGGTTGTCATAAACCTGTTTGCTGTGAATTTTCTAGAACTTTACATATATGTAAATGGTAAAACATACATGTAGTCAATCATGTAATCATTTTCTTGGTAATGAAAATGATCTTTTATTCTATAAGACATTATTCTGATCTCACATTAGTTCCATAAAATATCCTTGATTATATGCCATCAAATTGTTGTCAATTCTTAGTGTGACAACATAGAAAGACAGATGACAATCTGTCCTTAACCTGGTCTTTCAGGTCTTCCAATAATGCACCTATTGCTATTGTAACTGTAACTTGATGCTCATT